GGCGAGGCCACCGCGCGCGGAGGGGGCTCCTCCCGGCCGGGCCGCGGCCGCGCGTTTCCGGCGCGCTCCCCCGCGTCCTGCGTCCTGTGGTCTCGTCCGCCCCCGCTGCCATGTTGGATTGTGCGGCCGCCGCGGCCGCCCGAGGGCTGGAGGAGTTGGGAGTTTAGTGCAGTCGCGGGAGTGAAAGGACAAGGACCATCCGGTCCTAGCGTCGCCGGGCGGGAGCTGGGAGCTTCCTTTTCGGAGTGCGGTCAGCTCTCTCACTGGTCCTTCTCCTCCCCGCGTCGGAGGCGCTGCGAGATGCTGCGTCTCTGACTCCCTCGTCGCCGCCCCTGTCACCGAGGGGGCCGAGCGCGGGCCCACCCGCCCCGAAGAGACGGAGGACGCGGCCCCGGACTCCCCGCCCCGCCGGCGAAGCCATGAGCTCCGGCCAGCAGCCGCCGCCCCCGCGGAGGGTCACCAATGTGGGGTCCCTGCTGCTCACCCCACAGGAGAACGAGTCCCTCTTCACCTTCCTCGGCAAGAAATGCGTGGTCAGTGGCCGAGACCCCGTCGCCACCCCGGCGCTGCCTCGCCGGCCTGGGCTGGGGGCCGGAGGGCGGGCGGGAGGGCGGGAGGGAGGAAGCCGGCGGAGCGGCGCGCCGGGGTCCCGCGCTGGCCCGGCCTCCGCGTCGCCCTCGCCCTGCGCCCGGGTGCGGGCCGGCCGGCCGGACGCCGCCTCCCCCGCGCTGGAGAACAAGGGAGTGTCACCTCCGCCGGCCTGCCCTGGAGCCCGGCCTGGCGTGGCCCTGGTCCGCGCCCCCGCCGCTGCTCAAACTTTACTCTCAGACCACAAGGGGAGTCTCTGCCCGCTGGAGCCGACCAAGCTCCAGCAGGACCCTCGTGCTGGCCCGCCGCGCTTCACCACCTCCTGTTTCAGGGCACCTTCCTGAACAATGCCAGAGGATCGAGAGGGCAGATCGGGGAAGGAAGCTGTGCGGAGTTTTAATCTCTTTAGGCTTCCAGAAGGGAGTGAAGTCGAGCGTAGCTGCCTGGGCGTTTTTCCGATCCGAGCAAGTGCAGGAAATGCTAAGTGCACCCCACTGCAGAGCAAGAAGGTTCATTTCTCCAGCAGCTACTTCTAGGCCTGGTTTCGGATTTTTTATTTTTCCTTTGGCAAAGGTGAGAGGAGCTGCCTCTCTCCCCGCAGCCATGCGCAGAGAAACCTCAGTCCCGAGTAGCTGGTAGCCTTTGGGACCAAGAATGATTGTTAGATTGTTTCTCGGCGCCGAGTTCCAGCCCCTTCTGGCCGGTTGGGAGCAAGACCTTCTGTGGGAAGGGGAATGTGTCTTGTTGACGGAAGCATTCGTTACGTTCGCTGTTAGCATCTATGGGGGTGAGGAGCCTTGTGCAGCCCTGTGCAGGCCTTGCGGGGACTCCCCTTGCTGAGCTGCCGGGGTTGAGCTGGGGTTTGTGAAAAAGCTCGCCGGCCCTCTTTCTCTCCACTTTGCTTGTTAACACTTGCCGAGTATGTGCCGCTGAAACCTAGGGAAATTTCGATGAAGCAGTGCCATTTTATAATTCTCCATAGTAGAGATGTCCGATCTGACTGCACTTGCTTATTTAAGAAGTTAAGATTAGCCAATTTCTGGAAAGTTACCAGATTAATTGTTAACTTTAGATGAGTCTTGGGCCATCCAATTCAAGGCTGAATGGTTTCATTCGATTTCAGTCTTTTTTTTTAATGTAAGAGTTTAAGAAACACCGAGTTTACTGATAAGAATGAATTTTGGAAAACAACTTCAGGCCGACCAAATCCTTCCTGCTGTATCAAAATACATAAAACCAATGAGAAAAAGACCAGTGAGCTGAAGTCTCGTAGAAATTTAGTAATGTAGCTGAACTAGAAAACCAGTACTCCTGGTGCCTAGTCCTTTTAACTTTCCTCCGCATCACATTGTTTCAGAGGGTTTTTCTTTTTTTATTTACACATGGTAAGGGAATAACCACTCTTTGCATCAAAAGTTAGTACATTAAAATGTAAGATTCTTAAGGTGCTAACTTCGCATTTTTTTCAATTTAAAATCTCCATCACCTAGAATGGAGATTTCCTTACCTGCAGACGGGAGAATGTCAGTTTTGCTGCCTTACTACTTTTGCTGTGTAATCTGTATCAAAAAGGAAGTGGTTGTACTGTGTGTTTTACATACCAGACACATTAACTTTAGGCAGGATGAACACTGCCTTTACACATAAATACACTGATTGCTCTGTGCTTACTAATATTGTTTACAGGTAGTTGCAAGGAATGACAGATGCTGAAGACTGTTGTGATAGAGAAGGGTAGTATTGCTCACTGGTTATCCTAAGTGGATCGCTGAACAAACAGGCTGTCAGTATTCATTGCTCAATTTATGTCATCTGTTATTAATCAGCTTCACCTTTTGAATTTCATTCATTTAATACCACATAGTTATTGTTGTCTGCTCTTCTGGGGTGAAATTGTTGTGAAAATTAAAATTTGAAGTTCCCAGTTTGGTAGTGGGTTAATGCAAAAAGATTTTTGAGGAGTAACCTTTTCACCCCTTTTTAACTAGATTGTTTTGGTAGTGTTAAAATTGCCAATATATACTGTCTTATAAATCCAGCAATAAAGTTGCAAGTCAGACCAAATGTGTTATGCAAGAAGTATAGTCAGAGCTCTTTAAGAATTCAGGAAATGAAACAAGTTACAGTACCAGCTACAGAGGAGCTATCTTTCCTCTTTTATTCAACGTACATTGAGTAACTCAGTGTTGAGATTGAAGTCAGGATTGATGCCTAGCCCCAGGGAGTGTGGTATGTCTAAAAAGGGAAACAAACCTGTAAACTGATGAGTAAGTCAATACTTCTGAGTGATATGTAAAAGGATATATGTCACCATAGAAAACACAATAGCTTTGTAGTCAGCAAGCGTGAGCTCAAACTCAGGGTCACTTTGGATAAATGTTTTAACCTTCCTTTCAAACAATTAGTTTTCTGATGTGTAAAATAGTGACACTATCTTGGAGTGGCAGAGTTGGTTTTCTCATCTGTAAAGTATGTGTGCTATCTCATAAGAGTGCCTGTGTGATTAGAGAGATGCATAAATATATGAAAAGTTTCATAGTTTAGAAGATCATGCGGGAATAGATGAATAAAAGGTTTTTAGAAGAGCAAATTTTTCTAAGATTAATGGGTACTCATTTGTTGGGAGATAAGTAAAAGTGCTAATTGTATTAATTGTTATGGAGCAGGCTTCTCCTTGGCTTTTCAGATTTAAGTATGTATTGGAGTCACTGTGGAGACATTATTAGGAAATACATATACTAGTTGTCAATTCCTAGATAAAACTCAAATTCATTCAGATGGAACTTGGCATTTCTAGTTTTACCTAGCTTTGCTGAATATTTCTGTGTATATCATAGTTTGAGAGAACTGAAAGTCACTGTTTCCATACAAGATTGTCCTGAAAATGACACTGGAAACATTGGATGCTGTATTGCAGAAAAGTAACATTGAAAATAATAGGTTTTCCTTGAATGCTTGATCTGTATTTTGTGAGTTACTGTTAAATTAAAACAAGTTAGGAGATATTGGTGCATTTTACAACTGTAAAGAGAATATCAAATTGAAGTATTATAGCACTTAGTGGAGAACCACAGATCAGATTTGATTTTCAGATGTTTTTGGGGGAAAAGTACAGGTAGTACAGAAGGTGGATTGAGGTTTGAGAGGAGAGAAAGAGACCAGATATTTATAGAAATCCACATGAAATATAGTGAAAGCCTAAATTAAAGCACTTACAATAAAAATTCAAGAACAATTAAGACTTCCTTCAGAAGTAGTCTGGGGTCGAGGAGATAGCTCAGCGGAGTAAGTGTGTGCCTGGTGAGTGCAAGGTACTGGAGCCCTGGTACCACCAAAAAAAAAAAAAAAAGAAGTCTGGCTGAGCTATAAACGGTGGAGAAAGGGTTTACAGTAGAGCCGGGCATTATAAACACTGACTGAACAAGTACAGTGAGGTGTACATGTCTTCCTTAAGTGGAAATATACCTGGATGTAAATGCGAGTGTATATTGGTAATTGAATTCATGAAGGTTGGTTTTTAGTAAGTCTGTTGTTTTGCTATAGCTTTTAAAACAGAATTTGTAGAAATTGAGGTTGCATATAAAGTTATGCAATGGATAAACATATGTTAAGAATTTTTACATGAATATTTAACATGCCATTCATTATCTCATAGCATATTCTTGTATTAGAAGAATTTTAAAAGGTTTATAAACAAGAATCATAGATCTTGTTGTGTAGCTAGTTCTGTTGAATTTCATTTAGTGTGGTACTTACTTTCTTTGAAGAGTATGTGCAGTTTTGCAAAGTGGAGTGTAATATGTGCAGTCCCAAGTAGATAATACATTAAGGAGTTGGGTAAAGAAAACCTTTCGCCTTTCATTAGCCTGTGGCGTCCATCTCTGGATAAATAGACTGAATAGGTAGGACTTGATGATGGTGACCTCATCTTTCCCTGCCATACTCACCTGATTTCTTTTTCAAGATTTAGTATTTAACAAGCCATTTTTATTAATCACCTTTAACTTTTATTTAAATTCCTCAGTACTTGTTTTAAGTTGCTTGTATAATTTTTCCTGTCACACTACATACCCATGATGGCAAACCTTTTAGAGCTTTTATCTATTAATACAGACAGCCTGCAGCACACAGTATATACAGTTCTGGGTTAAGGACTTAATGCCTCCGAAGTTCTCTGTAACCTTTTGTAACATCCACCACTGTTAGTGAATACTTACTGATTGAGTAATTCTCTTTACATGTTTATTCCTTAGGAGACTAGTCTTCGTTTCTGGTATTCATCATTGCCAATAGCTTGATCAAGTTGCTAAAATCTTCATTTTTTAATGTGGATACTATCTGAAATTAGATCATTTATTAGGAAAAGAATATGGTTAACTCTGCTCCTGAACTCATACTGATGTTAGCAGTAACTAACTTACTCTGTTTCTGTTCTACAATGAGATCTTTTGGGTAGTAATTATTAAATTGATATGAAGGAAAAGATGTGCCTGAATTAAGGCTTTAGTGGTCCGAAGTTAGGGCTGTGAATGTGTTTCACTTTGAATAGTTTGGAAGGAGTAAAAAATATTAAGTTTTGCTGGATTTGGGGTTATAAAAAGATGAGAAAGTATCTTTTTCTAGTCTCGAATGAAAAGGTGAGCTCCATGTATGTAATACAAGGTGGACTATAAGCATAGGAAAAGGTTCAGAAGAATCCAACAACACTAGATTATAAATCCTGTTTCTGGTTACATTATTTCCTAATTGTTGTGACCCTTAGTGTCTAGACTTAGATGCTTACTCAGGGATTTCAAACAATAGTGAAGGGGCTTTGACGGATAACGCAGTTACTTAAAGCAGGTGCATAGGACCACAGTTCGATTTCCAGCTCCAGAAGCTGTACCAGACCTGCCCTTAAGGCAGTCTGAAGTAGCCAAAAAAAAACCAAAAACCCTCAAACAATAGTGAAATAATTGTGTAAAACATTTAAGAGTGCCTAACAGATAT